TGAGCTCCCTCCTTCCCTGAGCACAGCCTCAACCTTGACATCACCCAAGGCTGTATCGTCTCTGCAATCACACCATCAAACATTTCACTCTGTATCTACAGTTTCCTATGCTTGTGAGTTTATTGCTCAAGTATTTCATTGCATTGCTTCTTAATTGCACTTCATTGAACCTGCCGGTCATTAACTCATTCTAACCATCAGCTATCTCCTCATTCACTTCCATTCTGTTCTGCACTACTGCTTCAATAACTGATTTTTAAAAAGATTAATCCAATTTACTACTGTATTAGCTTGTCTCAGCAGGTAAGAATTTAAAATCCAGTTATGTATCAACTGCCCCCTCCTCCTGCCAGTTTGCAATTTAATATGGGCATCTATCTCTTAGAAAGCCCAGCGATTATTAATATTTCAGCTCCCCATATCCAGTAATGGGGCTAGTGGGGATCATTGTGAGGGATAGAAACTAGAAAGAGGAAGAAAAAAAGCCAAAGAAATGGGAAGTAGAAAAACAGGGCATGAGGAAGTGTTAATGAAATTGTTAACACTTTTGTTAAAGGAAGTGTTATTGAAAAGTGTTAATGCTATGTCCAAATTCCTCTTCTTCCTTGTTGCAAAGAACTATACGGCTACATCCAGTCATACAGATGGAACGCTAATTACTCAGCACAGAGGATTATATCATACATCACTGCATTGTGGAAGTGAATGTTGCCAGTTGTCAGCTTTTGCCAAACTACAGAGTGTCTCGTGGTTTATGTCCCAATCAATGGTGACAACGCTCTGAAAGAAATACTGCCTAAATGTCAGGGACTCATGAAATTGATCAGTCCATAGTTCTTCCTCAGTGATCGCCAACCCTGGTAGTGTATCAAAGTCACTGAAAAAATAAAGACACAGCATTCACCCCCAAACCTACTGAATCAGAATATTCTGGGTTGGGTCAGGGGCAGATTCAGGATTTTGCAGGGCCTGAGGTTTATACAATTTGGAATCTCTCTTTAAGAACAATAATATAAAAGTGTCTTATTTTTACAGATTTTTACAAAAAAATATTACCATGTAAACACATTTCTAGTATCCAGGCCCTTGTAACATGAAGGTCCATGTAAATAATGGACCCTGAAGCTTAGTTTTTATTAGCTTCCAGGTAAATTTACCTGTGGGTTAGGGCCTAAGAACAAAGGTGTGTTTGTGTGTCTGTGTGTGTGTTCACATGTGAGCACGTGTGCTTGCCTGCATGGTTTAAGCTCCCAGGAAGATGAATACAGAACTGAGCCTCTCTCTTCTGTAGCATCTGTACTTCTTATTCTATGCTCCTCAATGTTTTTTCTTTGGGTACCTTTCATTTTCCTCACTTCTTTATTACTTCCTTATGTGCTCTTTTTCTACCTCCCATTCCTTTGACTTTTTTTCTTCCTATTTCTAGTTTCTAGCCCTCACAATGATCCCCACTAGCCCCATTACTGGATTTGGGGAGCTGAAATATTAATTATTGCTGGACTTTCTGAGAGATAGATGGCCACATTAAATTGCAAACTGGCAGGAGGGGGGACAGTTGATACATAACTGGATTTGAAATTCTTACCTGCTGAGACAACTCATTGCATATGGAGAAGCAATTCTGCACCTTATGGTGAAACCAAATACCCATGCATTCATTCACTTAGTCATTTATTCATTTAATAAATATTTATTGAATATCTACCAATTGTCAGGAATATGCTAGGTTCTGGGACTATAGCAATGAGCAAGGTAATTTTTTCCTCTCCCTAAGAAACTTAGAGTCCAGTGGGGAAGACAACGTTAAACAAGCAATTACACAAATAATTATTTATTGCAATTAAAGGAAGGATAAAAAATATGATCTGTGAGAGCTTTAAAGAGAAGACCTAGTCTACAGAGTCAATTCTCATGAAGGAACATATGTAAGGATTCTCTGGAGAAACAAAACCAATAGGATGCAGGGGGAGGGAGATGTTAAATACATGTAGACTTATTATAGGAATTGGCTTATGTGATTATGAGGCTGAGAAGTCCCATGACCTGCTGTCTGCAAGCTGGAGACCCAGGAAAGCTGGCAGTATAATTCAGTTCAAGCCTGGAGACCCAAGAACCAAGATTGTCAATGTTTGAGCGGGAGAAGGTGGATGTTTCAGGTCAGAGAATGAAGTCATCCGGCCAGGCCTGTAATCCTAGCACTCTGGGAGGTTGAGGCGGGCGGATTGCTTGAGGTCAGGAGTCTGAAACCAGCCTGAGTGAGAGCGAGACCCCATCTCTATTATAAATAGAAAGAAATTAATTGGCCAATTAATATATATAGAAAAAATTAGCCAGGCATGGTGGCGCATGCCTGTAGTCCCAGCTACTTGGGAGGCTGAGGCAGCAGGATTGCTTAAGCCCAGGAGTTTGAGGTTGCTGTGAGCTAGGCTGATGCCACAGCACTCACTCTAGCCCGAGCAACAAATCGAGACCCTGTCTCAAGAAAAAATAAATAAATTCACCCTTCCTCCAACTGTTTCTTCTATTTGGGCCCTCAACAGATTGGTTGATGGCCACTTACATTAGTGAAGGCAATCTTCTTACTCAGTCTACCAATTAAAATGTTAATCCCTTCCCAAAACACCCTCACAGGCACACACAGAAATACTCTTTTACCAGATATCTAGGTATCCTATAGCCCAGTCAAGTTGACCCATAAAATTGGCCATCACAGGACATTTAAGCAGAGACCTGAAAGATGAATAAGAATTAACCAGGCAAAGGGCGGAGGAGCTCCTAGCTGGTGGGAGGGACGGTGGGGAAGGTAATTCCAGGTAAAAGAAGCCAGCATGCCCAAAGTGGGCAGAACAGCTCTCCCGTGTGCACAGAATCCAATGTATGATGGGGCATGGTGAGGAAAGAGGTCAGGAGATGAGCAAGGACTAGATTTTGCATGTCTTGTGGACTGTGTCAGTGTCTTCTAACCAGGGTGCACCCCAACAGCAGACTGAGAACCTGGAGGCTAAGGAAGTTATGTGGATTTTACCATATAATCCGGGAATGGTGATAAGGGCCCAGTCTGAGGGCTGTCAGTGGGAATGGAACACGGAAGATGGGAGTTATCATTAAAATAACTATTGATAGGACTTGGCACCAATGGGAGATCAGGGAGAAGGAAAAATTTCCTTGATTATTACCAAAATGATGTTGTGGTTTTATCCTTATTTTTAACAAAGACAGGAGGCCTATCTTGCTGCTCTGTGCTCCTTAGTAGTTCAAAGATTTTATTAACCAACATCTGACATATATGTACATCTTCCATATATACAGGAAGAGAAAAAGATTTTTGTTTCTCTTGGCTTAGACTCTTGGGAGAGGAAAGCTAAAATTTGGGGGTGGAAGCTATACTTACTAATTCTAACTGAAAGAAGACCAAAAGCGCTTGCCTTTTAGATAATTTCTTTTTATATACAAAGCTCTATTCTAATCCCATGGTGCTAAGACTGAGAATTTTTCTACTTCTCACTTCTGTGCTTCCCACTTGCCCATGTCCATTTGACTTAGGGACCTGTATTTCTTTGGGTTAATTTAGTCTGTTCTAGTCTCTCTTCTTATATCTGGGAAAACCAACATTCACGCTATGCGGTTTTGAGCTGATGGCTCAAGTGTGTGCATATTTCAGTCCTACATGAAAATAGCCCTAATTATAGCAGAATCTATCTTTGTTTTCTATTTTGTCTTTCATTTTCTCTTAAGTAATACTTTTGAGCTAAGATGAAATATAAAATCCAAGAGAAACCAACTTTTACCTATGTTAGTGTTATAGCCACAGTATTTTAGCCTGGGTAACCAAGCCAAAAATTAAACCCTGTTTTCTTAGAAATTTCAGATATTTCTGCTCTCAGGAACTTAAAGAGAAAAGAAAGAAATTTCAGATATTCCTATTCTTTAATAATAATGAGATTCTTCAGGTGGTTTTTGGCTGGGTATATGGCAAGCCTGTGGGTTGACACTACTCCAGAAGAGAGAAGACATATATTTTGGGTAGGAAAAAAAAAAGCACTGTGACTCTAATCCTGAAGAGTAACTGAGTCTAAAGTGTTAATGAAGGTAAATCAGTTAATATGAGCAACTTGTAATTGAGACCAGCATGAGGCAAAGACTCTAGGATAATGCAAAGACTCCATGGTTGGGCTTAATAAATTTTTTTAGATCACTAATATTTTTTAGGCAACTTTCCAGTATCACTTTAAGAAACTTTATGTACATACACCACTTTATACTCATTAGGATGGCAATAATAAAAAAGACTGACAATAACAAGTATTGGCCAGAGCGTGGAGAAATTGGAACCCTTGTGCACTGCTGTGGGATTGTGAAATGGTACAGCCTCTTTGGAAAAGAGTTGGGTGGTTCCTCAAAAATGAAACCTGAAGTTACCATGTGAGCCCAAAATTCTACTGCTAAGTATTGAAGAGAATTGAAAACATAAGCCTACACAAAAAATTGAACGTGAATATTTATAACAGTATTATTTATGATCGTCAATAAGCAGAAACAGTCCAAAGTCCATCAGCCAATGAATGGAGAAACAAAATGTAGTCTATCCATACGATGGAGTATTATTCAGCCATAAAAAGTAATGAAGCATCAATAAATGCTACAACAGGGATGGACCTTGAAAACATGCTAAGTGAAAGAAGTTAGACACAAAAGATCACATACTGGATGATTCTATTTATGTGAAATATCCAGAATGGGCAAATCCATAAAGGCGGAAAGTAAATTAGTAGCAGGGGTTTGAGGGAGGGAAGAATGGTGAATAAGTGCTGATGGGCACAGGTTTGCTTGGGGGATGATAGAAATTTTCTGGGGTTAGACAGTGTGATAGTTGTACAGTCTTGTACATTTTAAAAGGGTAAATTTTATGATATGTGAGTTTTATCTAAATAAAATTTTTAAGAAAGAGCCTATACAAAGAGATCAATATAAACACATTTATTGTTAAGCTTTCTAGTGCTATATCAAATACAATAGGTCCAAACTGACATAAGTTTAAATAAATACATACTTTAAAAAACTGTAAAATATTTTAAATCATAATTTAAAATACCTTAAAAAACCCAAAAGCAGACCACATTTATATTTCACACTATTTCTAATGCACTATACATAAATATTTACATTTGAACAATTTCAGGGAAAATAATAATTCATTCCGTATGTAACCTGATCACAATAGTTGTTCTCTCTTTCTATTTCCCAAAGTTCTGATCCATCAAAAACCTCCACTCTTCTGATCCTCATTACACTCCACGTTAACTGGGGCCATGTTTACTGCTCAGCACTTCTCTGAAACTTTCCTTTTTTGTACATGCTGAGCTAATGGGAGTGTGGGAGAGTTTTGATTTTCACACTCTGAGGCTGGACCAGCCTTGGCAATTACCGAACGAGAATTTCTCACTGCCAGTGCTCAAATGGTAACTGAAGATTCCTTAGGAATTTTTAAATCAGCTTATAAAGAAACACAAACACTTGCTCACACAGGCTTTCCCCTCTTCCAGAACACACTAACATACAGGATAAAACAAGTAGAGAATAATTATCAGACATTTTTGCTTTTAAAAAATCTCCTAGATGAATCTTTTACATGGTGAGTTCCTATTATGGATTTGAAATTTTATGTAACATACAAAAATCATATTCACATATCACATCTGACAAACATCTTTGTAGGAATGCAAAGCACATCCATATTTCTACATGTTTCTTCCAACAAAGACATTCATAAAATTGTACTTCTGTTTGTTTGCATTTATGTATGGTTTTATCAAATTGGAACATTTGGTCTCATGAAAGTTTTTCATCATGGAAACTACACATTCCTGAAAACATACCTGACAGTATACAAACCCTCCATTCAGTTTTTACTCTCCTGATACTACAATGTTTTTAAAACAACTATAGCAAAACACTCATAACTTTATACTAGTTAACATTATGCCTTGCTAGGGGACAGATAATATTTGCCCTTTTTTTTGAAGTAAACTTACTACAGATGTGACATAATTTGTTAAGAAACAAAGAAGGGGTAATCAAGGGTAAGGAACTTTTACCCTATCATCGTTCAAAACATCTACACATTTTTTAATTCCTTACTACACATGCACTGAATTGACAATTATGAAAGATTATACTACATTCACCTCAATTAAAACAACCAGTCTTCAAGAACCCTTTAAAAAGCATTAAATCCCATAGGGATAAAAACATTTAAGACTGTGCTTAGTAATCCTCGCACAGAACATTAAGTAGGATTTGCACCATCTACAAAGGCGCCCCTTGCCAAGCAGTCACCGGTGGACATTAAAAATTTGTCATTTTTTCAAGTTAGAATACTCTGGGGCCAATTTGTTTCCCTCTCTTGATACTTATTATTCATCCCCATGACAGTAACTATACAATCAACAGTGGAAACACCGTGAGGGGCAAAAGAAAGAAACAAAGCCCCAAAATACTGTTTCCCCAACTGAGATTTCCCAGTGAGCAAGGGAGAGTGAGAAAAGGAAATCTGAGATCCAGACTCTTGGTCTCTTCATCTTTGCTTGGGAGAAAATGTTTGTTCCCTTCAGGAAGCAGCACTTTCTTGATCCTGAGGCTGGGAAAGAGAAAACTTGAGTCTTTTCAGTGGGAGGCTGGCCTCGTCCACAGGGGCCATTGGAGTTGTGGTGGGTGCCTCCATCCCGGCTGTAAAGGGAGTGGGGACAGTAGGCAAGAAGGGCCAGAGACCCGAGGAGAACTCTCTGTCCCTGCTGTCTGCAGTGTGTGGCCCGAGTTCTCCGGATGCTTCTGTGTTCCTGTAAATATAAGCATGCGTGTCATCAGAACACTTCATGTTCTGCATACTGACAGCGACGACAAAATGCACCTCCTAGCACAGACTGCTGCACACACTCTCACTGGGGTAGTAAAAGTATGAACATCAGAATCTATTTGGTTAAGACAGTGAAACTATCCTGTGTGCTGGCTACAGGTCCACCATTACACATCTGTCAAAACCTACAGCATGTACAACACAAAGTGAATCCTGATGTAACCTGTGGACATTATGTGGACATTAATCAATAATAATTAATCAACACATGAATTAATAACATGTTGTTATTAATTAACAGTAATTAATAATAATATTAACAATTAATTAATATCAATGTTGGCCCATGAGTTGTAGCACTAGTGCAAGATGTTAATAGTAAGGGGAAATTAGAAGGGGGCAGTGAGGAGATACATTGGAACTATCTGTACTTTCTGCTCAGTTTTTCTGGAAACCTAAAACTGCACACAAAAAAATATGAATTTAAAATAAATTTATTCAGAGGGATTTGGCCCTTTCAAATTCTTGTAAAGCAAAGTAGAATGGTTAAGAACACAGATCCCAGAACCAGACTGCCTAGGTTTAAATCCTGGCTACACCACTTACTAGCTATGAGATTTTAGACATTTTCTTCACCTGTGTGAGGAGGGCTATAGGAGTAGCTCCCATCTCATAGAGCTCCTAGCCTAGAACAGTTATTAGGACATACTAAGTGCTATATAAGCATCAGCTATCATCATCACTATTATCTTTCATAAATAAAATAACTCAGTAAAACCAGATCCTTTTTCTTTCTTCTCCTTCTAGAAAGAAATGAAACAACTTTCCAGAAAATACTATGAAGGTGGTGATCACCACCCTCCCCCCAAATTGTCAGCTTTGGAGGGTTCAAGGAGAAATAGAACATGTAGAGAGGATACCTCTCTTATAACCGTAAGTCATTTCCAAGTCTTACCTGATTCTGTTGAACTTAAACGAGATCAGGAGGCATTTGGTAGTTTCCCTCTGATTCAAGGGTTTGGCAGCTGCTGTGGAATACATGGGATCACTAAATTAAGCCCTGTTTTCCAACATAATAAAGAGAGGAAAATGTGTAAAACGTTCAGTGGCATGCATTGTACAAGAATGCAACTTACCTGGAAGGAACGAATTTCTTTACTGTAAGAGAAAGAAAACCATTAATTCAGACTACATGACCTTTAAGGACATATCAAATCCAGACGCTTGATTCATTAGGGGTTGCAAACACAATGCCTTATGGCCTCTGTGGTGATCAGAGCACAAGCACAGCTTGGTGGTAATTAGGGTAAAATGCAGAGTGCACATCCATCCGAAGGCCACAGCCACTTCCTCACACCATCTGATAGTTACGGCGTCATCTGGCCAGATTCAGCTTCCAATTTTTCATGAAAAATCTTAAATATGAATTTTCATGTGAAATTTCCTATGTTTTAAATGCCAGAACTTAACTCAAAAATGTCTAAGTGCTCTGTAGGCCAGACAAACCATGAGCGTGGTCAGACGTGCTTGCATATTCCTTATGAATATGCAAATTTAAACCTGCATTCCAAATAAATATTTTAAGGAAGCATTTTATCCATTTTCCCGAGATCACTAATCACGGCAGTCTCATTGCACCACTCCAGGGACACCATAAAATTTGATGTGAATAACACCCGCACCGGAGTTGTACAATCTTAGCACAACTAGCATTTATATTTCCTAAAACACTTCCCACACTGAGTTGTACTACAAACTATTTTCCTGAGACTTCTGCTTAATTATACTGCAGTCTGTTAATGGTTACCTAATAATTAGATTCTGATTACTGTTTAAATTTTTAAGAGAGACGATGACTCATCAATGAGAAAAAAATATATTTTTAAAAACATTTTTGGAGTACATTCTTAAACTCCCTCACCTTTCTTCCGCAAGTATTTCAGAAGGAAGAAGAGAAATGATGTTAATGTCAGGATAGAGGTTCCAGCAACGGAAAGCCCAGTTATCAGGGTATTGGACTCAGCGGGAGCTAAAGAAACAAGAGGGAAAGGACTGTCATGAGAAGGAATTGACTTTAAAGTCTTTCTGTCCTGTCCATTTGGCCTTTTCTCTGCACATTGATTACTAGAAGCAGAAGAGCCACCTAGTTCAACACGTGAAGTAGAGATGTTGCATTTAAGGCCTTTTAGATTTGCCCCAAACCACCCTGGAGGCTCTCTCCCCCCACTGCCAGGCAGAACTCTAATTTGCCAAGCTCTTTCACAATACCACACATACTTTGGTTAATACTGCACTGGCTTGTGATTGTGTGTGTTCTCTCTCTATCTCTCTCTCTCTCTCTGTGCACCCCACCCCACCCCATTTTCCATTTCCCCTCTTGCTTTCCTCTCTAGCTCTCCTTTTTCCCACTGTCAGATTTCTACCCATCCCATCAACATGCCACCTCTGTTTTCTCTCTAGCCCCATACAACTAAATATTCACAACTTTCTAACCTGGGCAACCTTTCTGGTTTGGACATAATGGATAGCTAGTTACTGTAGCAAGATAGCTCCCCTTTTCCTCTTTAGTCCCTCAGACAACCAGCATCAATCAGTGCGTCACCTTCACAGGTAGGCAGCGTCCCAGACCAGTGTCCCATGGCATCACATGTCAAAGCCGCAGAGCCATTGAGCGTCCACCCTTCAGGACATGCAAAGTTGCACACGGTGCCGAACACAGGCTCCCCGCTGCAGCTCGTGTTGATCTTCCCGGGAACTGCCAGGCTTGAACACTGTACCACTAAAAATAGACACACAGGTAGAGGTTAAGAAAAATCTACTGGAAAACTTCCAAAACTGGCTTTGAAAGTCACCAATACATGTAACTTATAAGCATTACTTCATTTTCAGCATGCAGGAATTTAGGATCAAGCCCCTTGGAGCAATCTAGGTTCAGACACTTAAGCGGTATAGACTTGTTCCCAGAAAGTCTGAACTCAGTCCTACCTTGGCAGGAGGGGACCTCCTGTGTCCACTGTCCCTGAGATGTGCACTCAAGTTGAGCTGATCCGTGTAATTCAAAGCCTTGCTCACAGCTGAAGGCACAGGTGGACTTGTAGGTGAATTCTCCAGTAGGGGAATGAGCATAATTCACCAAGCCCCTTGGGGGTGGGTGGACGGCATCACATTTCACAGCTGGAAGACAGCAGAGAGCACTTGAGCGGTTTGCTTACATCAGGGAGAAACAGGTTTCTCAAGGTAATCAAGCCCCTAAACTCTTCATTGGGTTTTACCTTGAAATCAAATAAAAGCAAAGACAGTACCTTCACAGGTGGGCGTCCTGCCGTCCCACTCCCCTGTGGGGCCACAGTGGAGCCTTTTGGATCCCTTTAGCACAAATCCCTGCTGACAGGAGAACTCGCAGCTGGACCCACTTTGGAAACTTCCAGAAACACTGGGATGACAACTCATGCTCCCTCCCTTTGGGCTGGACAAGGCCGTGCACTGGAGAGCTGAGACATCAAAATCCTGGTCAGAAAATATCGCAGTGCACCTAGCGAGTACTTGGTGTTTGATGAGTGAACACAGCCCATGCGGGACAAAGCAACACTTAGGGAACTCAAGAGTCTTCGCTATTCCCTGGATAACTGGGAAGACGGCTGTGTGGTTTTGAATCCCAATCTCCTCATTGATAACGGCACTAATTAAAGGACAGCCTTTCTCGGGAACATTGGTTCCTGGTCACTGTTCTAACATGCAAAAGGAGTTAGGGTCAAGGGAAACACTGCCTATAGTCAGAGGGCAACTTAAAGGTCCTGCATGCTTACACATGGTGCCAAAAAGAAAGGACGAGAAGAAGGCACAAGAAGAAGGCACCCATGTAAAATTTGTCTGCTCACAATTTAGTTTTGGTGCTGCAACTTTTTGCCACTGGAAATCACTCTGTGCTACCTTTGGCTAGGTGAATGCCGGTGCCTAATAGTAAAACCTGCTTGTTTTCCATATCCTCGCTCTTGCTTTAAAAAGTGAACTAAATTTTAGTGCTTACAGATCTATTGAAACTATCACTGTAACTGACACCATGCTCGAAGCATTTGCATCACTGCTAGTTATGACCCATTTCAGAAGAAAAGTATGACAAGAGTTTTAGTTTCAAGTCATGTTCTCATTATTTTGCTTTTAAAAATTTCTAATATGATTTCCTTTAAGGATTCTGCCTACTCCATGCCAATGTCTATACTATAAGGTGATATTAGCACAGTACAATTAAGAAACCAGCAAAGCATTCACTCTTATTACATACAGTCCTTTCCCTGGCCAAGCACTGGCTCTTTTAAATGAATCTCAAAGATGTAAGATGAGTGTTGCTCATCAAATCCGCTTTCTATAGTTGAAGTGGGCACCTGATTTCATTTTCACTGCCCAAGTTTGAAGATTGCTGCTGTGTAAGAAAGGAAAGTGTAAAGGAAAGGATCTTGGGCTTACCTTCACACACTGGCATTTGCTCTGACCACTGCCCTTGCGCGGTGCATTCAACCTGGGCTGGCCCCTGCAGCATGAAGCCTTCCTCACAGGTGAAGCTGCAGGATGACTTGAAGGAAAACTCTTCAGCAGCGGAGTTGCTACAGTTCACAGAGCCATTCTGAGGCCGTTGGATAGCACTGCATGTCACAGCTGCAACACATGCACCCATTCATGTTAGCAGGTCTGGCTTGCCCATTGCTAGTATGGACTGAGAAAAGGAAAGTTCGTGGCTCTTTATGTGGAGCAACTCTACCTTTACACGTTGGCCTCTCGCTGTCCCAATTCCCAGAGGAGGTACACCGAAGGCTCCGGGCTCCCATTAGTTCAAATCCTTCCTCACAGTCAAATGCACAGGTTGTGTCCCATGGCGAGCTTTCAGGACCTTGCCAGCAGTTCATGATCCCATTGGCAGGGGTTATCAAGGCGTCACACTCAACCGCTGGGGATTGGAAAGAGACCATGAATTTTACAGAAGAATAATATTTTCACTTAATGTTGAATTGGAGTTTATTACAGAGTGAGGAAGCTGCCTTCAAAGGGTAGATCCCAAAGTCCTGTGCCCAAGCTTGGGGACATGCATACCCAAAATAAAGCTTTGACTTTTTTTTTATTGATATTTCTATCTTATCTGATTAGTTTTTACTTTGACTATGATGAGTGGTCTGTGATCTATTTTATCTTTTACATAAGGGAAAAATGAAGAAAATAATAGATTTGGGACTAGTTGTGACTAAAAATAATCCTGACGGACATAGGACATTCATTTATTTTAGCCCAGCAGGACCTGAAGGATTGATTTTTGATTTTTTTTTTTTTTTTTTGGCCTCTGGTCCAGAAAAATAAGATTGAGAGAGAAAAAGAGGTATTAATACTGCTTGATTATCATGGTCTTAAGTTAGTCCCATTGCCTAGAAAAGTGGAACAGGGAAAGACAATGAGAGAGTCATTAAGATTTCTAGAGTTTCACTGCTTTATAATCTCCCTTACAAGTCACCAGAGCCTTGGATACACTCATTTGAAACATAAAAGCCTTTCTCAAACCAAACAGATACTAGATTAATCATATATATATATATATATATATAGGCTGAAAGAACAAGTTTTATTAAAAACAACAAACTGAACTTTCCCGGCAGCTTCGGAAATGTTATCCATTGGATAAAAAGCGGAGGCCATGAGGGATGAGTTAGGGAATGTTCTGTGCATTCTGGGAGAGAGTTACCATTGCAGGCTGGAGCAGGAGCAGTCCATTCTCCGGAGGATGCACACCGCGTGGGCTCCGTGCTGCTCGGCACGTAGCCCCTTTCACAGCTGACCCGGCAGGAAGAATTGTAGCTGAAGCTCCCGAATGGGTGGGTGCAGACCAGGCTTCCGTGCTCAGGGTCTTCCTGGGCTTTACAGGCCACAACTGAAAAAGAAACCCAAATCAGTTCTGCTCGTCCCTCACCTTATGTGAGTGGGAAGAACACCGGAAACTATAACTACACTTTATTGAATGTTTTCTGTGTGCTAGGCACTATGGAACCGTAAGCCTACGAAGTTGGTATTATTATTATCCTCATTTTACAATAAGAAAGCTATGACCAAGAGTTTAAATGCCTTGCCAAGGTGCTATAACGAGTAACTGGTGAATCTAAGGCAGGGGTCCCCAAAGTTTTTAAACAGGGGGCCAGTTCACTGACCCTCAGACTGTTGGAGAGTGCGCACTGTGGGACCGGGACGAGTCAGCTGCTAAGCAGGACAGGCAGCCCCAGCAAAAACACCCAGAGGGCTGAATAAATGTGCTAGGTGGCCTGCATGTGGCCCGTGGGCCATAGTTTAAGGACGCCTGATCCCAGGTTTGAACTCAGAAGGGTCTGACTTTATAGTCACAGCTGTTAACCACCATATTATATCACATGCAACAGGGTAGAGAAGACGCGCAGTCCAAAGCCAGCGAGGACATGAGGTGGTGCTACCATCTTAAGTGAAGGAAGAGGTGAGAACAAGACTTACCTTGCTCACACTTGAGTCCACTGAAGCCAGGGTGGCACTTGCAAGTGTAGTTATTGACGGTCTCTATGCATTCACCATGGCCGCTGCAAGATGCGTTGGTACAGGCAGCTGCAGAAAACACAATCCATGTTGACGAGGGTTGTTACTGCACTTACAATGAGTTCCTTTGAACTTAGGATCAACAGTGTGCAACAAAGACATCGCCAATGATACTGAATTCCAGAGATTCTAAATGAAGTTAAGTTTACGAAATGCCAAATCTGGGTTTCAGGCTTATCTGTTTTAAAGCTTGATGTTAAGGAACTAAGTGTAGCTGCCACCAAGCATAGAAAATTCCTTTATCACAAACTCTGAAGACACTACTCCTACCACAAATAAACAAGTAACTAAAATATGTATGGTGTGTGTATATGTATTCTGCCTACAGTGTATGTATACACAAATGCATACATTTTTGCCTACATCCACACAAAGATACAAAAAGAGATACTTTAGCAGTTAAATAGTATGTCTTCAAATCATATCTTTTAGAACATAAAATTACCGTAACAGAGACCAATGTCTGCATACTATAAATATGTCAAGATGCCCACACACTGAAACCAGCGCCTGCCGCTGCCCCAAGCCCCCTACCTGTGTAGCACAGGGCAAGCTTCTTCTTGCTGCACCTCTCATCGTTCCACATGCCCGTGTCTTTTTCTCTCCGGATGTAGATTTCCACGCAGTCCTCTTCGTTTTGCTTATTGTTGGGTTCACCTGGAGCCCAGTTCGTGGCTTCTTTGGTCAGAGGTTTCTTGGTTCCTACCCAGGTCCACACATTATTGATTTTTCTGATTCCAATCCAGTAATAACTTGGTGAATAGTTTAATATGGAGTTTAGGTATTCGATCTCTTCTTTGTTTTGAATTGCGACCAGGTGTGTGTACCTCTGCGTACAGTACTCACTGGCCTCCTCGTAAGTCATGGTTTTCGTGGAGGCGTTGTAAGACCAGGCTCCGCTCTCCTTAATGAGGAGCACTAGGGGAGGAAATAGAAAGGAAACGGTAGGGTTTAGTCCTGCTATGGGTTAACTCCGTTAACTGGGTTTTTATTGTCGAATTTTTTGCCTACTGTGGCCTTTGGAATGACCCCAACTTTTTTCACCTTTTCAAAAGTAAAAAAAAAAAGGTATGTATGAAGAAACTACCACTCATGGTATCTCTTTTGTGACTGGCCATCCACTAGGTGCTTTACCTGCACTTTCCCAACACAATCTAACAGTATGCCCACTCTAGTAGCATAATAATCAGGATGACTAAGATTTCTTGAGCACTTAATAGGCACCACCAAATACTGTATGAGGCACTTTACATGACCATGATATCGAATCCTCACAATGCATCTGGGAAATAGGTCATTTATGATCAATGATTTACAACTAAGGAAGCAGAAACACTAAGAAATAAAGTAAATTGCCTCCAGTCCAGGGTAGAATGTATTGCAGGCAGCAGTGAGGGACGCTGCTAGACATTCTGCAAGGCACAGGACAACCCCACGCAAGAAAGAACGCCCCAGTCTGATATATCAATGGTACGAGGATGAGAAACTCGGGTCTCCCGAATAACACTGACTTACCACAAGTGAGAGCAGAGAGAAGCTGTGATACAATCATGACTTCAAGAGTTCTTTTCACCAAAAGATTAGACTCGAAGTACTTTTCTGGGGAGAAAAAGTGCAAAATTGATTACAGAAGGAAATCCTGGGTAGCCAATTGCATCATTCTACCACGACGTTTAAGGCAGCATCATAAGATTTAGAGTAACAGGTTCCAGTGCCACAATCTTTGCTTATTTCAAAGAATTTTAATCGCATGAATAAATATAAAATGTAAGATTTTAATCATTTAAGTCAAAGAGAAAAGATACGTTTTAACTACAACACAATAAGAGCTTGTACAGATCTGATTTTTATCAGAAGGCTTTTTGCATATTTGTTCCTATTGATAAATCTATGTTTCATGGCCCAAGGCTGCTTTTGTAAAGAATTCTGTACTTACTGTTTTTCGGGAAAGATTGTTTGAGTGTCGAATTCCTCAGGTGCGTACCGCCGCTACGTCTGTCTCAGGCCAATATAGTAGTTCTGATGTGAAGTCGGCCAAGAACAGCTGAACATTGCCTCTACTGAAGCCCTTTTGTAGGAGAGATTGCTTCCTGTGAATAATGGGAGGATGTTGTCCAAACCCAGTAAAGAGGAAATCCCCAATGGCAACCAAAAACTTTCCCGGGAATATCCACAATGCTTAAAATTACAATGATGTCAGAAACTTTATCCCTTGAAACTAATTCTCCTTTGTCCATGCCTTTATATTTTATTAAATAATACATGCAATTTTATAAATATGACACAGATGCGTGACTTTTAAATTCTAATAAAATAAAGTCTACGTCCTTAAAAAGTCTTAAAACTTTGTTTATGAGTAGTGTCTCTCATGTAATTATGGTAGTAATCAGAATTTCATAAACATAAGCAAACTAAGAATAGGTTTGTCATCCATGATCAACTACTCTCCATTTTCCATACATGGGTACCAATAATGGGTCAATACTCACTTTTTCTTTCTTTTTCATCTGCCAACTCAACACATTTAATGGGTACTGTCTCATAGGGGAATGAATCATAAGGTAGATATTAATTCTCAGACACTGTGAACCAGTTATAAATTACTAAAAATAATATCTTCCACTCAAATTCTTGAAAGAATGCCTTGTTTTTTAAAAATAAGAAAAATAGGAAACAGACTTCAGTGTTTATATTTGGAAAGCATTCATGGATTGTTCAGAAGAAAGATAAAAATTATATATACTCATATTTAATTGATCAAAATTTTCTTTAACAATTTAAAAATGTAACTGGGCAAATAATAAAAACTCTGCCAAAATATTAATAGTGGCTACCTCTGGACGGCAAGACTTGGAGAAATTTTTATATCCTTATTGTTTTCAGCATTTTCCAAGTTTTGCAATGGCCCTTTTTGACTTTTACATTTAAAAAAATCCCACAATTTAAAGAAACCTGTGTCCAAATGCAACTGAAGGAGATGTGTGCAATATCTTATATTCCTACTCTTCCTATTGACATTTCTTTTGGGTGACTGTATATACAATTATCCTGCATATTCCCCAACTCTGCATCTTGTCCAATTTAAATGATAGAGATAGTAAGTGGGGATCCTTTTAATTTCCATTTTTATAGGTTTTCAGAGCTCAAGTCAAGCTAATATTCTATGATTATAGCTTTTTAAAATATGAGATCTAAAAATGTAGTCTCAGCAGACATGAAGGAACATGGAAGAAAGCTTTATTTTTCTCTTTACTTATTAGCACTGGCTTTTTCTGTGTTCACTAAGATATCAAGACCTAAGCCAAACAAGAAAAGAGAAGAAAAATTCCAATGAATACAAATGATTTTTTAAAAGATAACTTAATTACTAATTCAACCCCTATAAAAAAAAAACAACTTTAAAAAAATATTTCAATAAATGTAGGGGACAAGTGGTTTTCTGTTGTACAGATGAATTATATAGTAGTGATGTCTGGGTTATTAGTGCACTGTCATCTGAATAGTGTATGTTGCCCCCATAAGTAGTTTTTCTTCTCTCATCACCCCCCACTTTCCCCAATCTGAGTCTCCAATGTCCATTGTACCACTCTGCATGGCCCTGTGTACCCATAGCTTAGCCCACTAATAAGTGAAGGTATTTGGTTTTCCATTCCTGTGTTACTTTACTTAGGATAATGGCCTCTATTTCCATCCAGGTTGCTGCCAAAGATTATTTCATCCTTTCTTATGGCTGAGTAGTATCCCATGGTGTGTATGTACCACATTTACTTTATCCACTCCTCAGGTCTTACATTTATGCATTTGATCAATCTTGAGTTAATTTTTGTATATGGCAAGAGATAGGGATCCAGTTTCATTTTTCTGCATGTGGCTACCCAATTTTCACAGCACCATTTATTAAATAGGGCATCCTTTCCCCAATGTATGTTTTTGTCTGCTTTGTCAAAGATCAGTTGGTGGTAGGTATTTGGCTTTATTTCTGGGTTCTCTACTCTGTTTCATTGATCCATGTGTGTACAGTACCATGCAGTTTCAGTTACTATTGCCTCATAGTATAATTTGAAGTTGGGTAATGTGATTCCTCTGGTTTGCTTAGTGTTGAAAAATCCAACTTTTAACCAATGATTTATAGCCCTCACCTTCCCACTCTCTTACCTTATCCAGATACTGACCTTATTTCAATTCTTTATCCCATTTTACATAGCTAAATGTCGTGGTTGTTGCTTAATAAATGTAGAAGAGTAAACACACAATTTTATTTAGACTTTGGAGAAGGATGTGAAACTGGGCTAATATATAATCTGCATATATTTTATTTTTAATAAATTGTGAATAATAGCATGCAATTTAAAAAAGCATCATCAAATATATGATCAAACCTTAAAACAAAATTTATGTGACATATTAATAAAGTACCTAATAATTATTTTGGAAGTAAAAATTAGTCAAATAGCACTAGATAACTACATTTATTATTGTGAATTTTTCATAACTAAATTCATAATTTGTCTTTTCCCTTTTTTTGTAGTTCAAAGATATCTAAAAATAGCCCCAATGGTGATACATCCCTATTTCATTTACAAATATAGGTCCTGGGCCCCTAAATATAATCTCTAATATTTATTGAGTGCTTGCTATGTGGCAGGCCCTGTTCTGAGCATTTTGCATGTTCATCTATACGATTATTTAATCCTCATAACAGTTTATGAAATAGGTACCTTTATTATCCCCATTTTACAGATTAGGAATTTGAGGAAGCAGAGATTTTACCTGTCTCATCCAAAAGCACAGAGCTAAGGGTTGAAACCAGGCAGTTTGTCTCAAAGTCCATTCCCTGAACTGCTACCCCATGATCTCTTTTGTTGTTATGCCCGGCACTGAGGTTCCCTGTTCTGCCAAGTCTCCAGTCCCCCCTTTGCCCTCTTCTTCCTCAGGCTTCCTTGACCATTGCAGCTCTCCACTGAGAATTCTGTGTCCTGGACTCTGGGACATGGGGCAGGAAGGGACCCCGGGGGCAGTGAGCAGTAGGAAGAGGATGCAGCAGGGACTGGCCCTGGGTCCCAGCGTACAGGGAGAAAGTAGACAAGGGAAAAAACAAGCAAGCAAGGCCGAGCTATGCCTGCGTGAAGTTGTTGACCCCTAAGCCTCACTTCCCTGAAGGTTCTGATTCAAAAGCAAATTCTCTGTAAGGCAAAAGGGCAAAATGATCATTTTAAACTTACATTGAACAAACTTCAGGGAGAGAACCCAATACCAGAAGGAAGGATAAGAGAAATAAAGAGTGGAAGAGATTGGTGAGTATAGGTAGGTTTATATGTAGATACAATTTAAATGTAATTTATATGTTATATATATATATATACAAGTGTGTTTTAACCAGAGTTATGTCATTCTAAATCCACTCACCCTTACAATTATCCTGCATTCTCCCAGAATGTTTTCTATGCCCCTGCTGAGTCGGGACTGTGGCGGGGTCAGGGGGATACGTGGTACTTGGGAGCTAACGGGGGATCTTCAGGCTCCCAGGGCTGCAGAGGAGCCGGGACGGACCCTGCCTGGCTCTCATGGGGAGACCGGGCCAGCGAGCGTGCAGCAGGCATTGAGTGACAGCTGGACTGCAGCTTCTTCACTGTCTTTGTCCTGCCAGGATCTGATGAGGGGCACTCACTTGTTGGGGGGTAGGGGGAGTTGAAGAAGAAATTGGGTGAGATTTGATAGCTTGGGGTGTTGAATGTTATCCCCCTCTATAAATAATCCAAACTTTCCTCAAGAAGCAGGCGCTTCCGGGCTCTGCGGAGTCTCTCACACTCTGAAGAATGTAGCCGCTGCCCCTGAGCTGCTCAGGTGTCCAAGCCTGGCCACACAGGGTTCTCCCGACAGTCTCCATCTTGGGGCAGGTGGGGGGGTGCCCTGCAGGGAGTAGGCCGAGGAAAGGGAAGAAGACGGAGGAGCACACGCAGGCCCAGCCCAGGCTGCTCCACCAGGGCTATTTCACCTCTGAGGCGCCACACTTTCTGGCTCTAGTATCCCTTTTCCTGGAAGACCCTTGTCCTTTCCTCCACACCCTTTAATCAGGAATTGAGGACTTTAATCATTTTTGCTCTGGGCCTCGGCCCACTGGTTCTCACCTTTATGCCAAAGGGGCCTCCCTGAGGGAGTGAGAGAGCCAGAAGTAAGGTATTGAGTCCCCACGACACATGTTAGGATGTTAACCAAGGCCACCCTGTGGACAAGAGATTACTGGGGCTGGCGGGAGAAGCACTGGCCGTAACCACATGTGGCAAGAGCATCTATCAGGTGTGAGCTTATGTTCGGTCCCTCCCTGCTGAATGTCCCTGGGAAGCATGGGCCGTGGCCTCCTCCGGCCTCCCAGGTTCTCCGTTCCCTCCCCTCTGGTAAGGCTTATTTTACCTGTAAGTGCTCATTTTTGAAGGTCTTGGTTCCCTCTCCACCCTCCAGCCCCCAAATTCCACTCTGCTAACATCAAAGTGACCTTTGCAGAGTCTTAGGTCGAGAGAGGAAATTCCAATGATGATTCAATCCTATTTGCAGAACACAAATGTAATATTTCTTGCACACCCAAAATTGTGAAAGAAAATGAATACCAGTGTGCCACCACAGTTTAGAATGGCATTTTTTTGTTGTAAGTATATTTGATGAAAAATTTGGTCTGGTGCCCTCTAAATTTATTTTTCAGAAAGCCACATGCACACACTTGAAATTTGTAGATAATATCCTGAATCTTTGAATCCAAATTTTACAGGACAAATCCTTTTAATAAGGGGATTTGTTCTGTGAAGTTTGGATTCAGTTGAGGGAATGCACCTGGGATCTGGAAGGCCACATGTGGCCATGGGGCTGCAGGTTCCCCACCCAACACCTGGGTCAGGTAGGAGCTCTGGGTTCTGTCTCACTCTGCTCTCCCACACCTGGTGGGGGAGATTGGGGTTCTCAGACTTTAGCATGAGGAGGAATCCCCTGGGCGACTCATTTAAAATGCGTATCTTCAGGTCTAATACTCAGAGACTCTAACTCAATAGGTCCAGG